TATTTATAAAAACTCGAATGATAACATAAACACTGACTGTAGTGTAGTGATCAATTAATCGTATGGGAATCGAAAAAAATTCATGATGGATATGACACGGTATTTGAAACCATCAACTTTAACATAGGTAGAAAAAATTAAGATTCGGAAGCAAATAGGTTAAACGTTGAACAGTGCAGTTGTAAAAAAATATTGGATACTATTAAAGAAATTTTGAAACTAACTTCAGATGAACTCAACGGGATCAAAACATCAAAAAAAAAAAAAACGTCACTTGAAGATATTTTCTGTGACTTACAAGTTGATCCTTAGAGCGATTATTATGGAAAAGATTTTAAATATTATGACTTGGATGAAGAGTATCTAAATACATTTGTTCGAGAATTTAAAAATAACGACAACCCAAAAAATGAAGCACATGCGTATTCCGAAGAAAAAGAATTAACGATAGATGAACCCATGGAACTCGAAGAACTTCAAAAAAAGCCTAAAAAAGATGATACAAAGAGTGACGATAAAACTAAAGTTCAAGACATTGTAATGATGTGTATCATTCGATTGTAAAAGACGGCACAAATATTTTATAATAATGTATACTAATTATATGTACGTGATTTTTAAACCATTTTAAATAAATAAATAACGGTATCTTCGATACCCGCGCGAACAACACGGGTCGAACAATAAATACTATTGACATACCTACATTCAAAGGACCGCCCAAGATCTATGCCGACATACGTCCCTATATAACAGGGACACATTTTAGACATTTTTATTTTTAGACTGTTATTCATTTTCCTAACATGCCTTAAGTGCCGAACAATATGCTGCGCGTTAAGTGTACGTACTCGTATTATACGCGCACATAATTATTGCACTGCCGATTAAAATGCATGTTTAATATAATATATAATTTGTACGTCAATATTTTCACAACAGAACAGGGAGAAAATCAGTTTGAGAAAAAATTTGCACGACGAAAAAGAACTAATTTATCAGAAGGAGCTCGTTTTGAAGAATAAAGCTTTGGAAATGAAAGACGACCAATCGAACGCGAGTGTCGATTCGAATAAATCCATGAACTCGAAGGGTGACATTGGAGCTCGTGATCGCAAAACCATTGTTGGATCTGAACAAATCCAACGACTTGTACACGATCACTATGAACTCGATAGCGCAAAATGATAAATCGGTCGAACTGATCGTGTTCAGATTAAATACGACAATGAACAACACGGAGTAAGTCGGCTCCAGTTCTAGTTTACACATGGAGTTTTTCCCGCCAGCAGCTATGTACGCTGCGCGTCCTCGTGCTAAGTGACGTGTCACTTTTCTACTTCCTACGATAGAGTGTACTTTCAACGAGCCGAAGAATTGAAAAAAAATAAGACCTGTAGAAGTACCAAGCAAGACACACAATAAAATTGTATAACCGTAAGCGATATAAGAAACCCTAGACGTCACAGTGCGGGTTTAAAATATGACGCTCTTATTGGTCGATTTCACATTGCCGCGCTTTTATATATGAATTATTATTATTATTATTGTGCTATCATCATAGAAGAAATAAATAAGAAAAATTAAAGTAAATTAAATAATACTTGTAGATCAAGTCATCAAATATGCATCTTAAAAATATCATAGATGAAATAAATAAGAACAATTGTTCAGAATAATGCTAAAATATTGTATATTTGTTTTGTGATTTACATAATATCAGCATTATTTTACACGACCTCTTAAAATTATACCTACATTATCTTCAAGACTTACTTTGATTGGTAAACATAATCATGACATCGAAACCAGTGGCAGTTACAATTTTTAGAATAAATCCAGTTTTCAGAAGTATGTGTCAAAAATATACAGTTTTATCATTATCTACCCATTAATTTATTTGTTCATTGATATAATTTCATTTTAAATTTTCAATAACTGAATAATGAATGTTTGTAACACACTTAAATGAGGGTAATGTGACCTTAGGGTTTCTTAAAAAAATATCCTAATTGTTTTGATTAATCTATTGCAATATTGTTCATTTTTGTTAATAGTTAATAATATTTACTAGGTACAATTTACAATTTCAATATATAATAGTTAGAACTTAGATACAATTATTTTAAAATAATTTAAATACCTGTTCTATTTGTTTTTCATTTCATATAGATAATATTAAAATTACTATTACCAGTCCTATTTGGTATTATATATATATATATATATGTATGTATATATGTATTATATATATTCTGTGATATTACTAACAAGTAATTATACTGTGGTAATTTCTATGTTTTAAAATTTGACATTCAAAATATCATTAAGAATGACTAAATATTAAGAATGGTAATAATAAATATCAGCAGTTATAAAAATACTTAATTTTATATTTTTTACCACCTCACTGGATTATTTAATTGTCCCTAAACAATCCAATAGTGGCACTTTTTTCTTTGAATAAAGCAAAAGATATGTCAACATCATCTTCAGTATTTAAATTACAACGTATCACTTCGATATCATCCGTAATAATATCTACTAATTCGCAACGCAATTAGCTATTACTTATATTTAATTCATCTATGATATTTTTAAGATTCATGTTTGATAACTTGATGTACGAATAGTATTTAAAAAAATAAAAAATTAAGAAACATTTTTTCTCGATATAATTATTAAGTGATGGTCAATAATAACAATGATAATAACATGATGATTAAGTGATAATTATCGCATAATTAAACATAATAATAATATAATTAAAATATAGATAATCAATAACAATTCATATATAAATGCGCAGCAATTTGAAATCGACCAATAAGAGTGTCGTATTTTAAACCCGCATTGTCACGTCTAGGGTGTCTTTATCGCTTACCGTAACGATAGCCAAAACTAGTAGGTACACAATACACTTTTTTTATTTTTTAAACCGACCAACAAATTAATAATAATATATATACAATGTCAATATGAAAGTTTTGAACTTAACCAATCTATAATTACATAGCCTAGAACTTAAACAAAAATTTTTATTTATGATACTAAATATCATTTAAATTACAAATTATAATTACCTATAGTTGATAACAATCCTTGTTGACATTGAATTTAAGGATTGAAAATTAAAATGATTTACCAGTACTTATCAGGCCCTATTTTTATGTGCCGGGGTGTCAATGGTCGGTTTGTAATAATAGATAACATTTCGGGGTATAAAAGCTGTTAATTCTATAAATTGAACCTATTAATACATGTACGTGTAATCGGTGGTTTGGCAAATAGTAAAAAAAATCTATAAGAAAATGATAGTAGAATATTTATTTGATACTGAATTAACAAAGAGAAAAATTTAATTTAGAAATTCTTTAGGCATTATAACTAATTAGGTAATGGTGCATAGTATTAATTTTTTGAAATGTATGTAGGCTTAATTAGAAGTACTTACCACATCGGTTGATCGCATAAATTCCTACTAAATTGTTAATCAATGGGCAATTGAATATGAAAATAACATTTGATCGAATTCAATCGAGTTCTGATTGCAGAAAATGATAGTGCACGGATTCAAACATTGCTTAAGTTAGTCATCAGTTTAATCTGATATTGGATTACAGTATTATTGTGATGAACGCAACATCTGATAACGACGAAAACATTTATTACTACAACGTAGCCCGGGTAAACCTTCGTTGGCTGTGACATCATTGAAGTTATGACCATGAAGAATAAAGGTTAGGTTAGATTATGTTAGGTCATGGGACTGACTACGACCAACAAGTTGAATATACCGATGATTATGTTGTTTATGCGATATTTGTTACGATAATTGATACGCGGAAGCCCGTAACAACTGCATTAGATTCGTTCGCCACCGTCTCTTATCGAGGTTTTTTTTTTTTTTTTAACCGAACGAATTAAAATAAACGAGCGATTTGTAAACCGGTAGAAGACATTGCACACGACGATATACACGAGTGCAAACCGTGAATGCAAACCGACGGACGGACCGGCGAACAACCGACACGCAGTGGTCACCAGTGGCGGCTTGGACGGCGGGAGGATCGCACCCCCTACTAATATTTATGAATATAAGACAATTCTGATTGTAATAGTATACCTATTAACAATTTATCCAATCATTCAGTGTTTAAAGTACTAAAATGGTGATTTTTAAATAATCAAAATAATCAATTTATAAATGATGTTGAGTGCCATCGCAGCGATTGCCATAATTATGAACGCGTATCAACCTATCAGTGCTGATCGCATAGCCGCCGCCCGCCGCTTTTGGACGAAAACCGCCGTCGCCCAGGCTGATTTTCATATAATATTCTATAATATACAATACCTACATTATATACGACATATTATATCATGTAGGGCTGCGCGAACGTGTGCGTGCGGATACGATCAAGTCCAAACGTATCAAATGCCAATGATAATTTTTTTCTAAAACTAATCCGAGAACAGTTTCCCCCACGGATTACGGTTTCCGATTACGAGAGGTATACGAGATCATATATAATATGAAATTTATCATTGTCGATTATGTGAGCGTCTCGTTTAATCGCGTGCTCTTCAAACCGTGATCGTATGCTACCATTTGAACGATAATAATAAAATAATAACAAAAATGAATGGGTACAGGAACAGACACTTTTTCTTATCGTCCCCTTCAACAGCGCCCACGAGCCGCCACTGATTACGAGAGCACGGACTCGGTTACGTTCAGTGCTTTACTCGAGGGGAGACGCAGTAACCCGACCGGTTTTCGGAAACGTTTAGCGTCCCTCCACTATTATTACGTTACAGTTATAACGCTTAACAAGTCTTGGGGACGCTATTTTTTTTTTTTTTTTTAAAGCAAACGCAGCGGCCCTTCTTTAATTTTGCCAAGTCGAGCACTGGTTACGTTGCAATTAAATGTTCCGGTGTGCACACAGGCGGGACGGGAGGGAGTGGAGCGGACGTTCCAACACGAAAACCTGATCGACGTTCGAGGCGGAGACGTGGTACGGCACGATCTCACGGCGGATCGAAAAACGTTTGCCGCCGGACCCCGTCCATGCATTTTTCCGCGCGCGCACCGTCGTCGTCGTCGTCCGGACGAACGTGTTCGCGTTTTCGCACGTTTTCCGATCGGTTCGCGGCGACCGTCGATCCGGCGCGGGGAGCTATCGCTTGTATCAATATCGCGTTATCCGTTATCGGCGCGGACGGAACAAAGAACGGTTAGGTTTATAGATAATCCTTTTATCTATTATCAATGAACCTTGATCAGCGCGTGCCGACATCGACACGACGTTGATAACGGTAACAACAACAACAACAACGACAACAACGACGACGACAATCCCGTCGGAACGCTCGTGCGTCCGTTCGCTGCCAACCGATAAGAAAAGGTCGTGTTCCGAAAACTCGCTCGTCCACGCTCAACCGACGACGAGGACAAACGAACGCGCCAATTAGCCGTCGTCGGCCGTCGGTTGTTCCGCCGCTCGTTTCCCGTGTGACCCCGTCACGTCGGAAGCGCCGACACCGTCCCATGACGAACACTTCGCCACCGCCGGACAATGACCGAGGCCGTCGTCGCCGTCTGAAGTGAACGCCTGTGCGGTAAAGACCGTCGGCGAAGTTTTATCGCGAACAAACCCGCGCATGAGTGCCGCGACATGGCCGACGACGATTGCGCCGACGGAAACCCGGGCGCCGCCGCAGCCGCCGCCGTTGACAAGCCCAGGGAAGCGCTGTCCGATTGGATACGTTGCGTGTGCGTGGTCACGTTCGACCTGGAATTCGGCCAGGCCATGGAAGTGAGTGTCGTGGTCGTGTTACGGTGGTTACATATCATCGTGCCGTAACTGTTACAGCTCGTGTACCCGGACAACGTCAAGCTGTCCGAAGAGGACAAGACCAACCTGTGCTACCTCGCGTTCCCCGACTCCAATTCCGGTTGCATGGGCGACACGCAGTTCCACGTCAAGATCAAGTGCGCGCAACCGTCGATTCTCAGCCAGCGCCATGTCAACTACAATGCCAAGTGCCCGGTATTCCTACAGGCCGACCACCGTTGTTTGTACGGGTTCGTTTACTTTCGCCAAATCAAAGATCTGTCTCTTCCGCGGGGTTACTTTCAAAAAGTACGTTTAACAGTTTCCCATTATTGTTCACTAACACCTATTAGCAAAATACATTTTATAGTTTTAACGCTGCCGTTAAATATTTGTTGTTGTGGTGGCATTATTCACTGGTAATCTAAATTTGTTTACCGGTTTAGAACATCTATGCTAAAGTTTACTTAAAGTTTCCTTCTGTTTTAAAACATCTTTTCCTCTGAAATATATAACATTATGTTTGTTCTCCATCAACAATTAATTTTATCAATAATTGTAAAACAATACTTGATTGAAAATACTAATAATTATTTATAATTGTAACTAACGACCATCGTTAAAAATATAATGTGATAATATTAACAGCATAATACATGCATTGAACAAAATAATGATTTTTGTATTTCATTACAAACATAAACAAAATAAAGCATTTCTTAATAAATATGCTTGTTCTGAATGATAATAAAATACCTATATATTTTTCATTAAAAATAAAATTATAAGCTTATGATCAAACATAACATTGGTTTTTAAAAATATTATTTAATAATTTATATACATTTGAAGTGTGTATTATTCTACCATAAAATTATATTTTGAAATTTAAATTAATTTTATATAAAAATTGAACCAAATTTATCATTTTACTTTGAGTTGTCAAATGTATTAGAAAAACTTTCAGTTTTTGATACAATCATACTACTTTTATTAGGAATAAAGAAGTTAATTTATTAATATCAAATTTTCTTTACATACGTAATAGGTACAAATTGTATTTTTATACTGATAAGAATTGATATTTTGTTGGTACGTTTACTAAAATTACTATCTTTTATGTCAAAACTATAGTTTTATAACCATTCTTACATGATAAATACAATAATAATACTGCAGTGTTATAACTTTAAGCAAATTAGGTACTGTGTATTATTTAACATCTTTTAATTTTATTTTTCAACTAATTTGATATTATATAGATCTATTAATTTACCATTTACGTATTGCCTAGAAAATAATTACAACAATATGGAATAATCTCATTAACTATTTCTAGTTAATATATTTTATTAAAATGATTATACTTTAAAAAGATGTGGTTGAGGCAGCGAAGATTCTAAATTTACTGTAAAAGCTAGAAAGAAAAGAAAGATAGTTTATATATTTTGTAATAATTCTTCTACTGAATTAGTAATTATGATTTAAATATTGATTAAATGTATGTCTCTTATTTCTGTAGATTACTGAGAAATATTTACTATTTCAAACATAAGTTATCTTATCTATTAAAAAAAGTAATAATTATTAAAAAAAATATATAGATTGCTTGTTAAAGTTTCACATGTAGTTTTAAAATATGAGCAAAAAAAAAAAAATTATTATTTAAAAAAAAAAATTAATTATTTTAATTGATTAATTTATTGTTCACTTTGAAAGTAGAGATACATTTGTGTCTATCGACTAAAATTGTAAATGGCTTTTGTTTTTGTTGACATTTTCAATCTTAAGTTTTTATTAAGCAAATAAAAATTTTACAATTTAAACATTAAAATTAATAAAAGTATAAATTTAACAAAAACATACTTAACATATTTCTATTAAAAACATAGTTTAAGGTATGGGTGAATCTTTATAAAAAATTAAAAAATATTTTTAGATTTTTAAAAGTAATTACATTGTCACCCATATCTGGAGAGGTATGTTTTAAAACACTTCTGCTTGTGATGTTATTAGTTTTTAGAATTATTTGCTGTTAATCTATGATCTAATGAAATCAAAACCACCAATGATTGTGTTTTGTCATGGAATTTTGTGTTTTACTTTCTAATTATATATTTATGTGTCTTGATATTATTTTAACCATTCTTGTTCCTAATATTTTACATTTTTAGCATTTGTAAAGTATATATTTTGTACGACTGTATATTATTTTTCCTATAAATTTAGAATAAAATAACTTAAAATTAAATATTTTAATATTTAATTACATTAAACTAATACTATTATTTTTATGCTGTTCAGAGTGTTATTATACTATCTCATTTGCCATTCATAAGCTTGTTTTCTGAAGTTTGTGGAACAATAGCGCCTGAATATTTCAAACATGGAATTACTGGAATTGAAGTTGCGTGGCATGATATTCAACAGTGGCCAGATTTATATCCAGGAGAAACAGTTAGTTTGCCATTATTGGGAATTGTTCTTCAAGTATAAAATCTAGTTAATTTAGTTACTAATATATGATGTAGTTTCAATACCATCACTATGTTCTACAGGCTCAATTGATATGTGATAATAACAAAATATGCAGTTCATCAAACTCAATGGTACCTGATTATCAGTTGCCAGTAGTTGTATCATCATTATATGAACTAAATACATTCGGTTGTTTTTCATCAATCGTATCACAAATACATCTTCTTTGGGAATTAGTTTTAACAACTGAACCTATTGTTGTAATGGCTTCTTCGCCTACCTATTGTTCACAGGTGGTTCAAGCATTAGTGAGGTAAAATTAAATTTTTTTTTATTTATATTTATCCGATATTTTTTTTTTTACCATATATTTTTATTAAATTAGTTTAATAGTGCCATTGGCATATTATGGAGATTATCGACCATATTTTACAATACATGATAATGAGTTCAAGGAGTATATGAGTAAGACTCTTAATCCGCCACCTATAATACTTGGTGTAACAAATCCTTATTTTTCAAAAACATTACAACATTGGCCTCATATTGTTAGAGTTACTGATACTCTTAAAAAAGGTAAATATATATTTATTTATTTTTTTTTTTTTTTTGAAAAGTAAAATGCATATTGTTTATACTTATTTATATTAGCAATTTCTTTTACTATTAGTTATAATTTTTTTTCGGGGTATTTTATTTTAAAATTTCATTCATATTTTAATTTTTATTTAAATAAATTAACTGAATTGGCTGTATTTATTATTTTAACAGACGCTCCGAATAAAAGTAAACTAAGAAAAGGATCAAATCTAAAAATTTTAGATGCTAAACCTGGAGTGTATACTGAGTATAAACCATACTTGTATAAAGACAAATCTATTGTAAAGAAGCTACTTAGGGGGATGCAAAATAAACGTCCAGAAGAGGTGCAATCGGCATTATTACGACGCCACTTTTTAGAACTCACACAGAGTTTCATGATACCACTTGAGCGGTATATGTCATCGCTAATGCCCTTACAAAGAAATATTTCTCCTTTTAAGGTACAATTTTTCCCATAAAATATACATTATTACATCATAGTGGATTGTATAAGCATACACAGGATATTCATATTTAATTATTTTTTCTAGGCGGCTCCTAAACCATGGCCTTTTAATCCAGATAATTTTTTAGCCAGTTTAGAATATGCTGGACCTCAATTAACGTGTGGTATAAAAGGAGACTGGAAAGGGCTTTATAAGCAATTTTTTAGATCTCCAAATTTCAATGGTTGGTACAATGTTCGTTACAAAGGAATGATGATGAAACTACAAGTGTTGCAAATCGAAGCTCTCTCTAGTGTGGTAAAAATATTATGATCTGAACACTTGTGGTAATTACTATTATTATTATTATTTTTTTTAAGGATATTAACAATTGGCTTGAAGGAAAACAAGAAGTAGAAATTGTTGATATGATACTAAAAATTCGTCAGAAATTGGACGAATGTGAAAACAAAGGATATCCATTAAATAAAAAAATCAAAGATCAATTAAAATTGAAAATGGATGATATTATTTGTTCATTACCAGATGATTTAAAAAATGTCTTGTCAAATAAAAACTCATCTAGCAGATGATATACTACCATTCAACAAAAAAGGTGGCTAGTAATATGTAATCATTTAAAAAATATCAACACCACTTCTATATTAATTGTAATTATGTTTATTCTTATGTACATCAGTTATCTGTTGAAACATTTATATCATCCATAGAAATATATATATATTATATGTTAGCGTTAATACATTATTATAATCATTCAGGAGTTGTTTGATCTGTTATTTATAAATTCCTATTTTTTTGTTGCAAAATCAAATACATATATTGTTAGGTATATAATACTTGTACTAATACCATTTTTATAACTTTGCCCTAAGCAGTTCTTCCAGGAAAAATTGATAAATGTATTTATATAATTATAATTGTAAATGTCATTAAATAATGGAGGTCAAATAAATAAACAGGATCATATTACTATAAAAGACTTAGATTAGTAATTAAGTTGTTAAATTTAAGTGAAAATTCTGTAAATGCAGTATATTTGTGTTGAATATTATGTTATTTTATACATAGGCGATTAGTATAATTATAATTATAATTTCCCTATATACATATAATGTTGAAAAAAATTATTTTTATGATACATGTCTTTTGTAATCCAGGTATAGATCAATGTACTTTTAATTTGACTATGTTTATAATGTAACTAAATACATCAAAACATTAGTGGCCATTAAATATTTGTTTTTTTATTTACAGACTGCTTAAGAACATAACATGAAAATTATAGTAACCATTGTTATTCTAAGACCGTGGTAACTACCTACTAACTAGTACCTACAATCATGTATCATAAAACGTAACTCTCATGATATCAGTTTATAATATAATATCTGGGCTCGAAACCGTTTCCGGAAAAAGGGGTTACCGGGTAAAGAGAACCCAGAGATTTATTTCGGAACCAGTTATCGGTCTTCGTGGATTTTAAAAATAGCGGTAAATAATTCCTGGTCACCAAAATAACTATAACAAACGGTATTATCGGTTATTTGTTTAGAAGCGGTTTTAAATCATCAGATTTACCGGTAACCACTCTACCGGTAAATCGGGTTTTTTTTTAACAGTTGATTTTCTTTTATCAAAATTAAATCTTAAGTACTCTTAACAAACCATTTATGCATGTTGTTTTGGTGTGACTATAGGTAAGAAAAGGCATTAAACAAAAGAAAATACAACATAACTATATAAGTAGTATACTTATATCTTTAAGATACATAAAAAATTTATGAAATAAAACAAATGATAATAATTTGATAAACATGAAAACAATTTAAATACAAAACGTTCTATCCTAATCAAAATTCAAACTTAATAGTTGAAAAACTTAACATAATTTAATCTGTGTGTTCCATAGTATATCACTGTATAATGTATACTTATAAAAATAATAAATATTAAACTTAAAAAAACATATTGAATTTTCATACCCATTTTATTTGCTCTTATAATCATGATTTCATTGATCAAATCAGATGATAATGATGATCTTAAGTTAATACATATAATCTTGAGCCCAGACAATGTACGTTCTACTGTTACCTATAACAGTTCAACCCTAAATAGCTTAATAATATTTAATTATATGAGTACAGCTAAATGCCTTCTTATAACTATTTACTACTTTTACATAATAACGTTAAAATGGTTTTAAATCTAGAGATATTTGTTTTATTTTTTCTAGTAACATATAAAATTGAAATTAAAATTTACTAACCAATCGATTGGCTTGATTCAATAGCTTATAATTTATTTATTTTTTTGAACAGTAATTATTTTAGCTTTGGTATATTTAATAACTTATATCTGGTAGTATATCGTACATGAGTTATAAATGTATAATATTACATTTCATATGTATCAGCTATTGGAACAATCTGTATACTGAGAATCTTCGTACAGAGATTGTTATTTTTCGCCGGTTTTCGTTTGCTTTATTACTATTATTAATTTTGACCTTTTTCGTAAGGCATATGCGCATCGTTCAATTTTTGGGTTATACATCGTTTGCACATTTACCGGTTAAAAGATCATACATCATTTGCACATCAATATTATTTAACAATAGAACTGAAAAATGTGTGTATAGACTTAAGTATACCATCGGTGACATAAAAAGGTATTATTTTGAAAAAATAATTGAACATAACAAAATACCAAGTATTGGTTTGTATTAATATTTTAGTGCTTATTGTATTTATGTATTTATTTATATTTACTATCAATTAATTTTTACTCAAACTATATTTTATGTATTCTATCTCATATATTTTGTATTTAACTATAACTATAATTTTCTTAATTGAAAGAACACATTTTTTTAAAATTCATTTTTAATTAAATAATCAAATTTATAATAAATTATTTAAATCTTAAATTTTTAACTACAGAATAATTTGTATTAATTATATAATTTTTAAACGCTTATTTAACAAAAACGTGAGTTTGTATATTACACCCTTCTATTGTTCGGTATGTTAATGCACATATGTCGGACGATATTTCGACACAGGTAAACAGACGATGTGCAAATGCTTTATGGCCTTATTTTTATTTTGGCGTTTTACATCCTTATATTAACTTCTTGATTCTAAAATAATTTAATAAACTATTTTAGTATTATTTTCGACTATTTAGAAAAAGATTAAAAAGAAAAAAATGTTAACGTTACTTGGTTTTGAGATTTACGTTATTGGTTAATTAACCGGTTCTACAAATAAACGATTACCGTTATAGATTTACACCCTTATCAAATTACACGACTACCGGTGTTTGATAATTACTTCTCAATATTGAAACACGAGAACCGGGAAGCGGATACTGGTCCAAAAAGTAGTCATTACAGTTTTTCGGAATAAGATAACCAATTAAATTTATACAGCCAACGATGATGGTATCGATATTATAATATAATATATAATATCTGATTTGATATTTCTCTGGGCATTATTATTAAACAATGGAAACAAGTAATTTGCTGGAGATGACCATACATTTTTAAAACCTAAAAATATAATTGTTGATGCTGTGCATGCTAGAAAATAGTATTTAGCAGAATACTTAATATGTTTTTTTTCATATTCAGATAAGCAATGATTAGAAAACAAGCTAATATAATTTTTTTGTGTAAGGTGTACAACATTTTCCAACTTAGATAAAACAAGACAATACAAAAATTAAATTAAAATAATACCAAAGCATTAAGTATTTATAATCAATGTTTATAGTTATGTTAATTTTAATTCATAATAATAAATGTTGATAACCATTAAACTATTATATTTAACTAAATGTTAGACAGCCACATACTTTATGCACTTATAATGTTCCATGCTAAAGAATAATGTAATTCAATTACGTGCAAAGAATAAAGGCTTCACATTGGCATATACCTACCAGGTGTTAGTCAAAAATTTCAAAATTATTACCTTACCGGATTATCAATCATTTGACTATTTTCCGTTTCCAAGTCATGATTCCGTTTAAGGTTATCGGCTGCAATAGCACTGACACTTGTAGCGACTACTCGACGTAGCGGTAAAAAAGTTCGTTACTAATTTACTAAATAAACTACGTTCTTAACTAAATTTGGTGGTAACGTATCTCAAACTTTAGGAAGTCTTGTGACACTTGCTTTTCAAAATTGGAAAAAAGCTTTAGAAGTAAATATATAAAAACTTCTCAACTTTTTAACATATCATGTTATGATTACTTTCTAATATATCCATTAAAATTAATTACAATAATAAATAGGTGTTTGAAAAACACTCAAAACATGAATATCACACCCTTTCCTTATTAAAAAGTGACCACTTTTTAAAATAATTTTCACTTTAATAACCAAACATTACAGACAATTTAGATACTGAAATAATACGATTATAATATTAAAAAAAAAGTTGATTTCCCCATTCAAAATTCCTGAGCACGCCTCTGCATCTAGCGTTCGTCAACGTTGTACGTGTACGCGCGAGACAAGTTCCGGCGCAAACCGAATAATCATTATTACCATTATTGTGTCCGTCACAATACGGTGACCGGCTCTCTAAAGGTGCGTTTACATTACAGCTGCGAACGCGAACGAACGCAAATTCGGTAAAGATCCAGTCCCACATGTGCAGACTATTCGTTCCTCAGCATTCGTTAGCACTCACTTAACTTCGCTCGGAATCAGAGATTCAAAATACTTTTTAATACAAATTTAACTGTTGCGTGAATAAGTATAGTACATATAGGTTTTGAACATTGTTTGTGTTTTATAATTTTTAATAATAGTGCCATCAAGCGAAGACGATTTTCTAATGGTATGTGCTAGTTTCGTGGTCATAGTAATCGTTAGATGAAATTAAAGAAATTATTTTAATCATTTAAGAATTGCATTTCTCTGAACGCAACCCATTTAGAACTATAAATTTCATTAGCTCCAGCCTGAGCTTGCGCTAAGAACATTTTAAAACTGCCCAACATTTTAATATTTTTGTACATGCAGATTAAATAAATTTGTCGCTCGCTAAATTCGCTTAACAACCTTAACAACCACTGTTTACTAAACTATATATTGACTACACATGTAAACACTTTATATATTACTTTATTTATTACAATTTGTTAATAATAATAACAGATTAAAATATATTTTTTTTATTTAACAAGAAATATTAAATAAAATACATAATTAAATTAATCAATAATACAGAAAATTTACGATTTTTGGTACTGATCAAATTGGTTTTTACAATTGCCCATTTTAATTTAGAACTACCTATAATGGTTAGAACTACCCATTAGCCCAAGCTCTGGTTCCAGCTCCAGTTTATTTAAACAATACTTTTTAAATATTTATATTTATCTTAATGAATAATATTAACACTAAAAATAGTCGATTATTTTTCTTCGGTCATCCATTCATTTGACGCATCTAGCTTTTTCGCTAATTCAGGTTTGAAATGCGGATATTTTTTCGACTTAGCGGTCATATCTTTCAACTTGATCAATTTTGCTATTCCTCTATCCACTCACTGTCCCACCAAACTACACGGTGTCAGTTGTTCTGCAGCTGTGTCATCGCGCGTTTCGTTGTAGTTGAAAAGCTATAAGTTGGGAAAACACGATATAAATGGAAAACAGTTTATATTTATAAATATACTCGTATTGTTAGACACAGCCGGTTTGGTCTTATTGATGACAAATTTCTGATCAATCGATTCCGTTTGAATATACGGAGAA